AAACTGACCGAAACAGTGCTCCGTACTCTACGAGAAGTCTATCAAATAGGCAACCGTTGCCCTCCTTCGCATCAACAAACCCTGCAGTCCAAGCAAATCAACCACTGTCTTACACTCCATCATTGCTACCACCGTCAACCAACAATCTTTCAGTTGTGCAAAGCGACAGACCGGTATGCATAGTTACCCTTGAGATAAGCAAGAGTATTGCAATCGGGTACGAGACTTTTCCCCCCGTGAATAACTTTGCTCACAGAATGGTCAAAATTAGAAGGGGTAAATTTGAGTTCAGCTCATATTGAGTTCAAATTTCATTGCGTCTACGGAACACTTGGCCTGGAGGTAACGAATACGCATGGGATGGCAATTGTTCTTAGCTCGAAACTGACATACCTATTTTTTTTTCAAATGGGAAATATTCCGATTCAAAAAAATGTCGGTTTTTTGTTTGTCTGCTTATGTTTTGTCAGCTTAGTTGACAAATCGTATACTTTAGCTGAGCCCTTTGTTGTCTTTTATCGAGACATCACAATTTCTGGTTCACCTAGTTGGTTTTCAACATTTTTCATTTGTTTCGACTTCTTGTGTTTTATGTTGGTGTTGAATCGCGCACTTTTTGTATCGCTAAATTTCATTGTATCGCACACTTTTATATTCACTGTATCGCACAAATTGCTAAATTTTAATAGAAATTATTGTTCAAGTTTTCATGATAAGTTTTTACTTTTTTCGTTTTTTTGGCTTGATAGGTTTCGGCCTATATAATATCGGTTAAATGGTCTCATATTGCGTCTTTCGACAGCAAAAAAAATTGAATGTGTCTGTGTGTGTGTTATGAGGGTGAGAAGGACTTAATACTTTTTTTGATTTATATTCTGCTTTTGTTTTTTATTTTTTTTCGTCCTAATAGGTTTCGACTTCTATTATATTAGCTTGATGACTTCATATGGTTTTAATTGACGAGTAAATAAAGTTGTTTGTCATTTTTGAGGGTGAGTGAGGGGGATTTGTTAACCTTTTATTAGCAGTAAGTCGTGTTGATTTTTTTTGGATTGCAGGATTTCTGCTAAGGTATTTTTTGCCTTTTTTACCGCTTGCTAAATTATTTTCGATTTGAATTTCACATTCTACTGTTTACACAAGCAAAGCTTGTGTTATAGTATGATCTCTTTTTTTCCAAGCTAAGTCAAAATATTGTTGCGACGCAAATGTTGCGACAAAATGTGTTCATTTTGAAAGCTAAGTTTGATCAAAAACCAGCTATTAAGTACAGCCAATGCTAAGGATGTTAACACAGACGGATCAACCGTACAATTTCTCTCTCCCAAATTGATATAGGGGAGAGAAAATATGGATTTTTCAGGAAATAACTCTGAGTATACCTTAGATTTATAGAAATTTAGGTTTTTTAATTGATTGAAAATACGCTAGCTTAGCTTATTAACAGCAATCAAATGCAATCCCTCATAAAAATTGCGACAATCAGTTTTATGTGCGCGTTTGCTCGAAATGCATACATTATACAGAATTAGTTTTCAAATTTCATACGCTACGCGGCTTGGAGGGAAGTTCTACCGTTGGTCACCTAGGGGGAGATTTTAACGAGTCTTTTCGTATACTAGCTAAAATGCTTCCGCTCTATAATTTGACGCATTTTGGTAGCTTTCTTTTTTTCACACTGCTAATGCGTCATTATTAGCTTGCGTCACTTAGCAATTATGTAGACTCATAATTGGCGTGTGTCACTAACGAAGTTTTGTAGACTAAGTTTTACTCATTCAGTTTTTCCCAGTAGTGTTATCGGCCATATTTTTACTTGTGTATGCGAAGTGCAACAAGTGTTCGACATGTTTTAGTTAGAAAACTTGTCTGATTCATTTTGATAAATCTGGATTTTTCGACATTTTTGAATTTTTTCCGACTTAGCGACTTCCTGGTGTTCTATCGCAAGTGTTGCGAAGCACAGCTTCGCCTCTTTGTCAAGCTGTGAGTAATCAATTGAAAATAAAATGACCATCCTTACTGGCTTAGGAGCAAATGTAATTTTTTTGAGGGTGTGGACGAATTTTCAAAGAATATGCAAAATTTTTGTCGATCTTTTTTGTACTAAAATGAACCACTGGTCGCGTTTGTACCAAAAGTTTTCCCCTCGAATTCCGATTAGTCAATTTTAAGGCCAATAAATTGTTAAACTAATTGCTAATTGTTCAGGCAGCATAAAGCCAAACAGCTTAATCATCAAAATAGTTACCGCCAACGTAATGCGAGCTTCCAAAAGAGGGTAGCAAGCGAAATTTTTTTTAGGTTGAGCAAACTGATTTTTGAAACTTAATTTTGGCATCGAGCGGCACATATACATAGTTTTCAGGGTTGGTTATAAATGGCAACTTAAAATTGAATTTGAAAAAAAAAAGGATCTCACCCATTCTGGTAAAGATAGGGGAGAGATTCCTTACTTTGCACAAAATTCGGCGACATGACGACTTACCCTATTCCAATTTATCTTTAACCCATTAAACTTATGCTATTTTAACCTACGTTCCAACTCAACTTATCAAAAGTTCGAAAGATCAACTCACCGTGAAGTCAAATTTTAAATGGAATTCGAAAATTCCAGTTTAACCTACGCGCGCTGTAATAAAAACTTATCCTTTGTCTTTGAAGAGTTCCATAAAATAAATCCGAATAGATATCAAAGAAACATTAACTTGGATCAATAGTCAAATAGATAAAATTACTCGTTCAATTTCAAGATGTGATCAAAGCATGATCGAGGAAAAAAATATCTGACTAACTTACAGTTGTAACGCGTTGCATCTGTTTCTTGAATGAGCAGAAGTCATATCACACCAAGTCCATATAGCCTAGTCAATCATACATATGTTTTGAAATCAAAAACTGAAAGATCAACTCACCGAGATGTCAAGTTTTAATTGAAATTCTAAAATTAAGGGCCATCAATTATAAGAGTGCGACGATTGCGTTGCGATAATCCCCAAGATGTCTGGCTCTTTTTTTCTGCAATTTTCTCCAGAATGTCTGGCTCATTTTTTTAATGCAGTTTTGAATGATACAATAGACCGAATGAAACGGTTTTTGCTTTCAGTTTACCGTAAACTTGTAATAAATGTGGAATAAACTTAGTTAGAATATTTAGGCAACCTGTAAGGTACAATTTCAACATACAATCTTCGCAGTAATTAGCTTGAATTTGCGACTCAATTGAGTCCCTAATTCTGGCCTTAATTGAATTAACGCGTACAGGTTAAATATTCTGGGCGGTGATTTGGAAGAACAATAAAATGATGTTTTTTCGATGTTCTATATTTTTTTATTTAGCACTTAACCCGCACGAAGTGATGATGAATTAGCTATTACTCTTTAGCGATGAATTAGCGATTCTTAGTGCATATTTAGCGCTATTTTTTGTTTTCCAGCGCTAAATTAACGATTAATTTTCGCTTTTTTGTGTATGTAAATCAATAAAAAGTCGCTAATTTGTCGATCTTTGAAATAACACGGAATCAGCTATAAGAATGTTAGTAAAACCTGATAAGCAATTTTTTATCGATGATTGTTTCTGGGGACTCTACCCTGGGGGTGGGTTATGTCGAGTTCTGAGGGGGAGGCGTTTTGGTAACTCCGTCTCCGTGTTTGATCAGAACGACGAGTTTTGAACAAAACAAGACTGCTCGTGTATCAGGGCAAACCTTGAATGTTCCGACCGCCCCGTAACTGGTCTCGAATACTTTTTGTTCAAATTTTTTTTTGATAATCTATAAATTTTGTACTGCAAATATCAAATACAAGTGCTAATTTCCATTAGAAATATTTTGATCAATTCAATTTGGCTTTAATTCAATTTGGACGATTATGAGTGTGGATAATTTGCGACGCATAAATAATTCGCATAATGAAACTATGAAAGCCATATTCTAGCTGCGATGCCATCTCCATTTTGCTTGGCAATCCAATGATTTTCTGATCGATAACCATACGCTGTCAACTTTTGTAAAATTGGGCTGAATATAAAACCACCCCAGGTGTATAGATTCCTCACTTTCTCCGAAAGTCGGAACAAAAAATGATAAATGTAGACTTGAGCTCAGCATTTGCAGTACGGTGCAGAGTAGGTAAGGGCGACGTTTTACTATATAAAGTCATCCATTTTTGGCCGACCAACTCTCCGTTTTCCTTAAGGCGTATTTTGCGTCAATATACCCAAGTTTTGAAAGGAAGAGCGTACACAGATTTTTTTTTAAATTTGACATTGGTTACACCGAAGACTTTAGTCAAGGTGTTATGGTATCGTGTAACGGGTTTTTTTTTTAATGTTGTCTGTTGTCAAGTGTCGACAAATAACGTCCACAGTTATCAATTATCATGTGGGCTGGACTATATCGCGCTATGTCACGTGATTGCGTATGTTTGTTTCTTTATTTGTTCATCTTTATTTATTTAATTATCTGTTCTTCTATTTATTTAATTATGTTTAGTTTGCTTATATTTATTTATAATTTATGTATGTACATATTTATTTTTTTTTATTTTTATCACGTGTTTTGTTTATTTATTTAATTATTCTTTCTTTCATTTAGTTTTGCTTTTATTATTTCTGCGTGTGTATTTATTTAATTTATTTATTTTCATTTATTTATATTATGGGTCTGTTTGTTTGGTTATTTGTTCATATATATTTTTTCATGTCTATTTAATTATTTGTACATTTCACTTTTGCTTTTATTTATTTATTTATGTATTTATTCATGTATTTATTTATTTATTTATTTATGTATTTATTTATTTAGGTATTGATTTATTTTTTTATTGTTTATTTATTTATCAGGTGTGTTTTGTTTATTCAACTGCTGTGTATACTTGTATTAGGTACACTGTAGTTTCAATCAACTGATCGTGTGTATACTTGTATTAGGTACACAGTTTCTTTAGTTTAACTGATCTGTGTATACTTGTAATAGGTACACTGTAGTTTCAATTAACTGGTCTGTGTATACTTGTATTAGGTGTAAAACAGGATGAGTTTTGCTACACATACAAACACAATCTTTTGTATTTTATTATAGCTATAGAAATTGATCTACAATGCGTAAGTACGACATTTAGTTTTACGATTATAATTTCAGGTCCTTTGTCAATATTTCAGGCTCTTTGTCAATATAGCAAAATTTTGGTGTATATATGTGTTAGTAAGATTTTTAGTTCTACAACGTTTATTCAGGCTCTTTGTCGATATAGCAAAATATTGGTGTATACATGTGTTAGTACGATTTTAGCTCTAGAATTGTTATTTCAGGCTCTTCGTCAATATAGCAATATTTTAGCGTATACATGTGTTAGTACCATTTTTAGTTCTCGAACTGTTATTTTATGATCAATGTCAATATATCAAAATTTTAGTGTATACATGTGTTATTACGATTTTTAGTTCTCGAACTGTTATTTCATGATCTTTGTCAATATATCAAAATTTTATTGTATACATGAGTTAGTACCATTTTTAGTTCTCGAACTGTTATTCCATGATCTTTGTCAATATAGCAAAATTTTGGTGTATACATGTGTTAGTACGATTTTTAGCTCTAGAACTGTTATTCCATGATCTTTGTCAATATAGCAAAAATTTGACGTATACATGTGTTACTACGATTTTTAGCTCTCGAACTGTTATTTCATGATCTTTGCCAATATAGCAAAATTTTGGTGTATACATGTGTTCGTACGATTTTTAGCTCACGAACTGTTATTTCAGGCTCTTTGTCAATATAGTAAAATTTTGGTGTATACATGTGTTAGTACGATTTTTAGTTCTAGAAGTGTTATTTTATGATCTTCGTTGATATATCAAAAATTTAACCTATACATGTGTTAGTACGATTTTTAGTTCTAGAACTGTTATTTCAGGCTCTTTCTCGATATAGCAAAATTTTGGTGTATACATGTATTAGTACGATTTTTTGTTCTAGAACTGTTATTCTTCAATTATTAGTTGTTCAAGTTGTTTGGTTTTTGCTTCAGTTTCTATGCCTTCGGTGTATTGCGCGTAGCGCCTATGTTATAAATTATCCACCAAGTGCTCAAAAACGCTGCAAAAAAGAATTTATGCGAAATCGGGTCATGGGAGGGTTGACCTGGAAGATAGGCCGACATCATTTTTCAAACACCTACCCCTGAACCGTCCAGACCTTCCTCTGCAAGCCACTGGTCATAAACATGCGTGACTTGGAACCATTTCGAAGCGTTTTTTCTTGTGGATTACGTTCGATTTGTCATCATTGATTAAAACGTGTACGTTTTACAGAGACGGGACTCGTTAGAAGGATGGGAAGACTAGTCATGATCAAGAATCCTCGAAGTTTCAAAGAAGTTATCTAATCGCCACGTCACTTTGTAACCGTCACGTGCCGAGTTGTATGGAAGATGAAAGAACATGTTTGCAATGAAAGTCACTCCTCATTTGGATTTGGTGCTATTCATTTTAAAAACATGTTATGAAAACAGTCGAACAATGACTTTCGTTCAAGTCCTGTATGTCTGCCGACTTTTTTGTCGGTTCGCTTACAATATTAGTTAGATGTAGATATATTTTTGGGGCAGTGTTTCAATGCCTAAATTTCTGTTTAAATTTGCTACACTGACTTTACTCGTCTCCTTTCTGCAAATGTCTGTTTAAATTTGATTTTAATTATCTAACAATGCTATTCTGGTTACTCGTATGAACATGCAACTGCGGAGAAAAGATTAGCACTTAAAGTCTTGTTCGATTTTGCACATTTTCTTGTTGGCAATTGAGATTAAATTTAATTGAATCTGTACCATGTACAACCTAATGTGTGTCTAAAAGTCATGAGTCATGAATGCAAATTACGACTTGGTTTGATAAGGACCTAATTCAATCCCATTCATTTTCAACTTTGTTTATATCAAATATCAGTTGTCGTTTGTTTGATAAGAATAGTTCATTTATGGTTTATTCATAATTTTCAAAATGTGCTATTGACATCTATTATTTAAACGGAAACCCACAAAGGGCGAGAAAATCTGCTCAAATAAAAGCGAGGGTTTTTGAAGTTCGACCATGTCGGATTTCAGATTAGTTTAGATGCCAGCGCCAGGCGCAGTAGAAGCCGATCATTGTCATACGAACTTATCGTCTAACCCTGAAGCCGATTGGAGCCAACGGAGCGAAAATTCAGTATTTGAATTAAGTAACTCGAACAGTATGAGTTCGAGTAGTCAACAGCAATCTAGTTCTTTAACTGCCTCGGTCAGGCCGATGAGCGACGAAGCTGCTCAAGAGTCGGAAATGAGACGAGCAACTGCCACGACTCAGGAACAAACCCAGCAGACCCAAACAGCATCTCAGGCAACTGTAATCCCAATTGTAACTTCATCCTCGTCCTCGAATAGAAACAGGCAAAGTGGAACTGCGAGTGGAAGACGGATAAATGCCGCAACCAATAGAGAACGAACGGTGGATCCTAATAGTGAGATCATAGACATGTCGATGGAGATAATCCTCAATTTGACTACTTGTGGCATATGTCTCGACATCTTCCGAGACCCGAAAAGTCTGCCTTGTCTTCACTCATTCTGCAAACGATGTCTGATGACGCTGACTCAGAATGACAACACTTTACCGTTTCCATGCCCTACTTGTCGTAGACTGTGTGGCAGCACCGTGTCAACCCTTCCCGATGACTTCAAGTCGAAGATACTAGTTGACACAGTGCGACAGCGAGAGAGCAATCGCGGCGGGCGAGTAGGAGGAGGGGTGGTCATACACCCGGAGAGTGCCGCAACACAGTCTAGGCAACCAGTTCTGTGCCAAGCTCACGGAAGCAGAAGGTGTGAGTTTTTTTGCGAGGAGTGCAACATCCCTATTTGTGTGAGATGCACGAACGCAGAACACGTGGATCACTGCTACATAGACGTGTTCGAGGACGCCCACGTCTTGATTGACGATTTGGATTATATCGTGGAAAATGTGAAGCGAGACGTCCAGAGACTAGAAGAGAACAATACTGATATTGAAATTATGATGTGCGAGTTCAGCTATTTAATGGACGAGCGCGTGAAGAAACTGAAGAAAATGGTGGATCAAACTGCGAGTCAAGTAAAAGCGGGCTATTCACAGGAACTTCTCAGTGCACAAACAGATGTCCGCCGTCAGACTATAATGCACTTGAGCTTTATCCAAAAAACAAACGATTATCTTAACTCGCTCAAAGAGTCAGTTCGCGATTGTGCAATGTTCGAGATATATGCAGATGCCAAGATGCATCTAACGAGTAGTAACACTCGTACTCCCAATTTCTTGCTTCAGAGACCAGCGAAATTTGAGTTCGCCCCTTGTGTCGAGTACCAAGTAATGTCGGCCTTAACCCAGTTCTTCGGACAGCCTGGGAGTGTGCCCGAACCTCCAAATGTCATGAATCAACTGTGTCTAAGTTCAACACCTTCGCCCAATGGAACGGGATCGAACAGTCTCCACCCACCTGGACTTTCGCCCACTCCTGAAACGAGCAGCAGCAGAGATTACTTGCTGTCAACGTCAGCTACAGGAGCACATGGTGCTATTGGAGGTGCTAGAAGGAAACGCCAGTACAACCCTCCTGCAGTTGGTCAGCGTCGAAATAGCCCTGCCGTCGAGGCACTCTTTTCTTCTGCTGCAAACGCCTCCTCATCATCGTCACCTCTTCACTTTCCGGAAGCATTCGTTGCTTCGTCCTCCAGTCAAAGTGATTTTGCTGCTGGAAGTAATCAAGAGTCAGCTTCAGGCGTGTCAATTCTGAGATCTATTCTACCTCAAACTGCGATCACTGTCACCTCATCTGAAGATGCCGCCAACCGGAGCACCGCCGTTACTCACCCCCTGACTCCATTTTTTATGGCGTCTTTCCGAAGCTACAATCAAAATAATGCTGCAGCATCGAGTCCCGCTGATGTTCATTCGGCTGCCAGCACAAATGATGTCCAAGTACCGTTGATCGACCTAGTTTCGAGCAACCGAAACTTGCAAATTAGTCGACAGTCCCAAGTTCAAGGAGCGAGAGTTATGGAGCCTCAAGACGTGCAGCAATTCTTCCAAAGCCTTTTGGGAACTGAATCGAGACAGACTTCACAGGAATCGGTTCTCGGTACAGGATCCGAGGTGAGTAGTGATGTTAGCGAGCAACAGCGGAGTAACCACCAGGCTCCCAACGCCGAATCGGGAGAGATACTGACTTTGTTTCCAGAAATGTCTGTTTCGGCATTTCCTGGAGATCAGACTGCAAATGAGAGCTCAAGTGAGGAAGAAGAAGAGACCCCTGAATCGCAGAGAGGAAGCGCAGATATCGCGGAGGAAACTCTTTGAAGGAGTCTTAATACTTTTTAATCAAAACATTCAATGTCTTTTTTCTGATAATATCATAGCAGATCTAGTCAACAATTCGTATGTTACCAGAACAACTGCGAAACTATAACAAGTAGAGTTTGTAATGCCAAACCTGTGCAACTCTTTGATTATATAATCAAAACTGAACATTGGGTGTTACATGGCGTGCTGAATGACAAGGAGACAGGTCTGAACCAGACAGTGAGCTTAATAGGCAATTATGAGAGACAGTAAAGCTAACAAAGAAGAAAAAACTATTAGCCGAATATTGAATCACTATTAATAACAGCAGGTAGTTCGATAGTGTTTACGTTCTATTTGAGGGCAAGCAAATTGTGAAACTATCATTTGTTTTCATTCAGCAATACTCGTTCAATTCTTGCCTTTTTCCTGCCAAAAATGCCTATGTTTTGTTTTATTTTTTGTTCTGTCTAAATCAGGCCACGTCTTCTTGTCATTCACCCATGGTTATTCGCCCATTAACAATTAGGCCAATGAGCAAACTGCTAACTAGATGCTAATTAGTATATGTGTGTTTTCGTGTTTCTCGTGACTGGTTTATATCTTTAGTATTTGTCCACTTTCATGTTGAACTGCTTTTATTTAATGCTTCATTGACAAAAATGAAGTGTCACGTCACACTAAATGTTCATTTTTATCGGGTGTTCTTAGCGGGGCTTAGGAAATTAGACGATCAGAAAATAACGGAGTTTAGACAATAACTTGCGTGCAAATTGCATGAAACTTGTTTACTGACTTAAATTATCTTTTGGCTGAGTATATACTGGTTGTCCAATTTAGACAATAACTTGCGTGAAAATAGCGTGAATTTTGTTGACTGATTCAAATTAACTTTTGGCTGAGTAAATTCTGGTTATCCGTAAATTCCGTTTCTTTACGGTCGTCTAATTTGCTTGTCTGATTTCCTAGGCCCACATTTTTTGTATTAGGGGCCTACTATTTGAACTGATCACTTTGAGGTCTTTGCATAAGTATGAGCATTATTATGAGCAACCAGTTGTGACTTGCTTGAGTAGTGCCCGCATCCAAGTTTAGTCGTAAGTAATCGATTATAACGGATTATTGTGATGACTTTTTGACAATTATAATTGGTTATAATTACCAAAATTAGTTGTTTAAAGGAATTATAATTGATTATAATCGTGATATTTTCCAAGAGATTATAATCTCTTATAATCGATTATAATTGATTATAATTCTTAGAAAAAACCCTTAAAATCAATTATAATCGATTATAATGGATTTTTGTGCAAAACTAATGAATTAGAAATTTGAATGAAAATAATGGATTATAATCGATTATAATTGTATCGAAAAATGGAAGAATAAATAATCGATTATAATCGGTTATAATGGATTATAAATAATTATAATTTGACTTTAAAAAGAGAGATTATAATCGATTATTAATTGATTAAAATCGATTGTTTCTCATTTTTAGTAAGACTGGTAATAAAATCGTAATATAATCGATTATTAACGCTTGAAACTGAATGCGGGTGGTATCGGGAGATCTTTTCGAAAGCATTTTGTGATTTCGCTGAGGTATGGAACCATTTATGTAAATATATATTTCCATCCAATGTCACGTGCATCATTGTAGAATGTAATCATCACGGTGAAATAAATTTTAAAGAAATATTTTTAAAACGTGCGCGGGTAATCAGGCGAACCGAGAGATATTTGGAAAATATTATTTCTCTGTTCACGAATTAGCTTTAAAATTACCTAAAAAATTCTGATAGACTGACTCAATTTGCAAGAATCATACAAAAAGAGAGTCTCTGGCGATCAAAGCACCTAACACACGAAGCGGAGCGGTGGTGAAGAGGTTACGTCTCGGCCTCTCAATCGAAAGGTCGGATGATCTGTGCTCGTTGCTTGAGGGTGAAGCAACATTACCCAGCCCAGGAAAATAACCAAGAAAATGGCCTGAAGTTCTGAAACAGGGACACAACAGCGGCTCGCCGTGATGAGCTGTACAGCTCTTGTGTTCGTCCTTTCCCCCGTGGATAAATAGTCTCAATTAATGTTTTTGTATACCGAACTATGGTGTTCATACAATTCAGAAGTAAGGGGTTTCTCATCTGCTCTAGAATTAAATTTTTACTACGCTCAGGGACTGTTGGACGTGCGGGTTTGGGTTTGACGCCATCTGCCTGCTCAGGAGTTCGACACCCTCGCCGCCCAAATGGTCCCACCCAGGGCGGGTCTAGGGGGGGGGGGGTGGACACCCCCCTTCCTCAGGGATTCGACCCAAAGGGTCTCCCTTTGTACTATTTTGAGATATCCATATTTGGCGACGGACCCTAAAAATTTTCTAAAGGCACCTTTGGCCCCAATATATACTAAGTTTGAGGGAGGAGTGCGCGCCAAAAAACGCGATTTTTTGGTCAACATTTTCCAAAGTGACTAGAAACGCCTTTTGGCCTGTTTTTCAAAATTTTGGCTGCGGCGCAGAAACTTTGACCAAAGCAGGGTCTTTTTAGTAATTTGGGAGAGCAGGGAAATTTAATTTGGTCGAACTAAAAAAAAAAGGTTCAACCACAGGGAAGAAAAATTAAACCATAGGGACTGTTGGACGTGCGGGTTTGGGTTTGACGCCATCTGCCTGCTCAGGAGTTCGACACCCTCGCCGCCCAAATGGTCCCACCCAGGGCGGGTCTAGGGGGGGGGGGCGGACACCCCCCTTCCTCAGGGATTCGACCCAAAGGGTCTCCCTTTGTACTATTTTGAGATATCCATATTTGGCGACGTACCCTAAAAATTTTCTAAAGGCACCTTTGGCCCCAATATATACTAAGTTTGAGGGGGGAGTGCGCGCCAAAAAACGCGATTTTTTGGTCAACATTTTCCAAGGTGCCTAGAAACGCCTTTTTGGCCTGTTTTTCAAAATTTTGTCTGCGGCGCAGAAACTTTGACCAAAGCAGGGTCTTTTTAGTAATTTGGGAGAACAGGGAAATTTAATTTGGTCGACCTAAAAAAAGGTTCTTCTCAAACAGTTATGGTTCTTCTCAAACAAATAGCTTGTGTTCGATGTTTGCTCTATTGGTGTCTTGTTTTTACTTGTTTCAAGCGCGCATGAAAGATATGAGAGGACACGTAACTCTTAAACTACAGGTTGGGGGTTCGATTTTGTCAGCTGGCAAGCATTTAATTTTAAAGCTTATTTGCTTTTTTTCGGAGATACTGTTTGCGGTTTTCTCATTTTTATTGGCTAAGTGCAACTGTGGTTGTGTGTCTGCACTGCTATTAAGTTATGGTTCTTCTCAAACAAATCCTGAGAAAAAAAAACAATTTTACTACAGCGAAGATTACATGAACTTGATCTATGTGTCATAAAATAGAAACTCAGTTTATTTCATGCTCTTAACTTCTTTGTAGGCTGGTTTTTGAATGAAATTTCTAGGGACTTGCATGAAAATGAGAAAACGTTTTTTGGAAATTTTGTGATGTTTATAATAATAAAATTCATGATTCTATGAATTACAGTGCCATGCTTCGGTGGCAGTTTTTTTGGCTTGGCCCATAAGTTTTGAGCTAGCGAGCCTATATTTGGAAAGAGTTTTGGATTCTATTTTTTTTCACTCTTATTTGGGTATCATAAATAGACGTCTTTTTAGCTTAGAAGTTTAATCCTAAGCTGTTGTTGCCGTGATCTGACTATTTGTTCTTAATAATAAAAATATCATTTTTTTTTGCTATTTTTCCTTTTTTGCAAGTTCCTGATTATATCTCTGGCGATGCTTCTTTTGCGACAGTCAAATACGTCGCTTTGTAAAATTCTCAATTCTCAGGCGTGATCTGGTTGGAGCAACTGAAAGCGAATAATTCGTTGTCTCAAGCAGTCATTTTACGGTCGAATTTTTTCGCATGTAACCTAAACAAATTCAATTAGCATGCGTTATGTTCTATCATTTAATGCGCATTCACTGCAGCTTGATTTTTTCATGACTGCCAGTTTCTTATTACTGATGTTCAATGTTGCTACAACTCTCCTTGCCTTTGGACTAAAACAAAGGCATAAATAGTTGAAAAAGGTTCCTAGAGATAAGCATGGGTTCAGGGTTAAGTGGAAGAATGTTATCGGAACAAGGATATCCGGTTATTGTGCAAGTAGCACAGAATGTTCCGATCATTGTCTTTTAAAAATACAGTTTTTTCAAATAATTGTCATTTTTTCGGAGTGGTGTGATAAAAGGAGCTGAACAAATAACTGAGGAATTGAGGCATTTTTAAAAAGTTTGATTCCAATAAGGCGCTAAAATACTTAAAGGAAACTAATATTACTCAAGTAAAACTGTTTGATTGGTTAGAGGCAACGTCACACAAAATATTTAATAATTTGATGCTTTTTCAATCCAACTTTTAACTTTTTTACATATGCCATACTTTTTTGAATATACCATACGATGTTTGTTTATACATTATACCATAAGTCAATTCAGCCTTCCAATGGTCGGTGAGAAACTGAAAGTGTGTAATCGTTTGTGCATAATCAGACACAAATTTTCCACGCTACTCGGCTTATGTAATTTTTCTTCGCCCTGAGCACATTGATAAGGGCATTCCGTCTTTTTTGGTATCCTCAGAGACTTTTAAAATTGACCATGCTCTTCTGATTGTGAGCCTTCTGTTTGTTTTATGCGAATGTTTCACCGTTTGGCGATTGCAAAACATATAAGTTCATAACGGTTTCTTTTCTTTTTGATTTATCAGTGATTTATGCTTCGGATTTTTGTACATATTTTTTGCGAATAGGTTGATTGCATCGCTTTCTCGCTAAATATTTATGAAGTTTAATTAACAATTGGTAGTTTTTCTGTGTCGCAAGAGCTGCGAAGCTCTGCTCTGCTTCTTAATTTTACCCTTGCTATAGCAAATGCCTCACTAATGCATCGATTTTTTCAACTACACATTTTTCTTAAGTTTTTGTCTGATCGTATTAGCCTTCAAGTCTCTTGAATCAATGTTTTTGCATAAGTTACATCCAATGATGATTTTCTGTTGTTTGCTGAATGTATGGAAACTGCGGAATATGAGGAAATTTTTTTTTAGAATGGAGTGTGTGTTCTCTGCATGATCTGAAGTTTCATTTTAAAGAATTTTGATCAATCGATGCCAAGTTTAA